GATCAGTTTCAGAAAGGCTTTTGGAACTGAGTTAAAGGTGATAGTGCTCATTGGTTTAGTGGTGGGATAAATCTTTGCGTTCAACAACAGGCTCACAAGCCACTATTAGGTTTGCTGAGTTGCAGCCTGTGAGAATTGCCCAATCAGAACTGTTTCAACAAAAAAGAAACAGTGCGTTTTGTGAACGAGAAGCTTTCGTATGCATGGGAGTCATCCCTGGTGCATTTACCTATGGCAGCGTCTTCAGTCTTTTCCGAAACATGCAGGAATGAATGTTGTGTGTGAAGCGGCTCTTAAGATGCTTTGTCCACTATAGAATTCCAAAACAGCATCTCTGTTTATTTTCTAGGAAAACTTTCTCTGGAAGAGTTTATTCGAGGAGCCAAGAGTGACCCATCCATCGTCCGTCTCCTTCAGTGTGACCCCAGCAGCGCTGGGCAGTTCTAAAACAGTTGCTTGGATTATTTCATGTCTCTGGGTTTTTTTTGTTTCTTTTCTCTCTCTCTCTCTCTCTTTTTGCCAAAACAACATTCATGGTGGCATTGCCTCTGTCCGGCCAACTATGCCTTCTTTTGTGGCACCTTTCGCTTTCGTTGTGGCAGATCAGGTAGAAGTTGTGCTAGGAAAACACTCTCCCAAATGCATCCTGGGATACAGAGAGAGCTGCCCGCACAACTATGTCAGTTTTCAAATGGTTGTCACAATCTGCGCGGCCTGGTCCTCAATCAGTTTGCCTGGGAGCAAATCCCACTGGTTTTGAACAGGACTTCCTTCCAAGCATGCTTAGGATTGAAGCCTTAAGTTTTGATTTGTCCGTCAATTCCAAGCTAAAAAAAGAAATGTGGAAGGGACGAGAGCCCTTTGCCAGAGGTATGTAGGGGTCTGAGGCATACATGGAGTAGTGTGCAAGAAACGTCTACCGTGTTCCCTTCAGTGCTGGGGAATGCTGAAGAACATTCTCTGGCATTGCAGCAAATGAGGAAGCCTCTTTCAGATCTCCATGTGTGCACCAGTGATGCTAGTAGCAGGGTTTGGATCACAGTCAGACCAAGTAATTTAACATTCCTGGCGGCATTCAGCTACATTTTAATCAGAATGGACCCACTGAGATTCATAGAATTGTAGAGTTGGAAGAGACCCCTAGGGTCATCCAGTCCAACCCCTTGCAACGCAGGAATGACAACTAAAGCATCCCTCACAGATGTCCACGCCAACATCAAAAAGCTCTTGCCGTCTGAAAGGTCTTCCTAATGTTTAGTCAGAATCTCCTTTCTTGTCATTTGAATTGATTGGTTCGGGTCTTGCCCCCTGAAGCAGGAGAAAACAAGCTTCCAACTTCCATGTGATCCCATTCAGATATTTGAAGATGGCTATCGTATCGCCTCCTTTTCTCCAGGCGTAAACATTCTTCACAAGGGTTGGTTTCCATACCCTTGATCATCTTGGTCACCTAAAGTGACTAATGTTCATTCCTTTCAATGGGTCTACCCCGAGTAAAGCGTAGTTGAATGCCACCATCTGTCTCCATGTTATGCTAGAGGTGGGCTGCTGCAACAAACCTCTGTAAGGTCCCTGCTTATCTCTAATAAAATTACCTGTGGTCACTGCTTAGAGGTAAGCATGAAGGTTTCTAGAGTTAAACACAGCCCTTAGTTCCTAGTACAGCAGCCAAATGAGTTCTGTGCACAAATCCTAAGTAATGTGTGCCTGGCAGGTGTGAAATTTGCTGTTCTAATCATTCAGCCTCAATAAACACAGTCGGGGGACCATTTGATATATTGGGTGTAGATTTAACCCATGGACAATTCCTTTTAGCGGCCAAGGTGCGAGTTAGAGGAGAAGGCAGGGGGAGGAAGCAATAGGCACCAGTGCTAACATGACACACACAAAGGACAGCGCACCTTGCCTATCGGTAATGCCTTCACAGCGCTGGGAAGCTCTGAATGCTTCTGTAAGATGAAGGTGCGGTGGGTGGGGGAGAGAGAAGAAAGGTTGTTCAGCTGCCTTCTCTGGGTGATGCGACTGCATTTCTTCTTAAAAGGAGGACATGCATTTGGAGAGAGGGCAGAAGAAAATGCCACACAGCAGTTGTGATGCTCGTTGATGGTTACCATTTGGGATCAGGGAAGGCAACTTGTGTATGTGGGAAACTTGAGTTGAGGAAATCCAACCCTCGGGGGAAAGTGAATGTTTTGGTGGGCTGATGATAAAGAAGAAGCACCTACAACTCAAAGGCCACTTGCAGTGAAGAGAGCAACAAGGAAATGGCAGGATTTGGTGGTTAGAAGACAGAGAAATATTTGAGAAGGTGTTCTTTTTCTCTTAGACAGAAGAAAGTTGATGAGAGTCGGGTGGATCTATGGTATGCCAGCAAACGTGTGTTTCCTAAACACGTGCCTGCCAACTTTTGGGAAGGCAGGATGTAGTTTTCAGAGGGAGAATAGCTTAACTCTCCTTGCACTTGCCAATTCTCCCCTACAAACACCCCTCCAAGGTCGTAGAAATCATAGCGTCAGGAGGCACCTTGGCTGTCATATTGTCCAACTCCCTGCTTCTGCAAAGCAGAATGCAGCTCATTATCTTGGCTAGATGTTCACCCAGCCTCTGCATCAATACCTCTACCAAAGAAGAGCTTGTTGCCTACTGAGGCAGGCTGTTCCTCTGTTGCATTTCCCCCTGCCTTCTTCTGGTCTTGGAACCAGATTGGCAGAAGAACAGTGGGATCAACAGAGGGCGGCATTTGCAGAGGAGAATCAGCAGGGTTAAACTCCCCCCCCCCCCCGCACACCACTTCCCTCCTGCAACTGCCCCACCCCTGCATCAGAGATAAACTCAGTATTGGGAACCTGGTATTTGATTTGTAACGTGGTTCTGTCCTGAAGAAGCAACAGGAAAACCCCCCACAAAATTGCATGTGGAAGAAAAGCAGTCACTTCAGCACGAGCACTCAAAATCACAGCACAATTTGAGCAGCTGACACAGAGGGAAGCATGTTGATTTGGGTGCGGTTTGGTTTCACCATTGCAGAGGGGAGAAAACTCACCAACCAGGTGTCTCTTTCTCCCTGGGTGTCCACATTGTAAAGTGGTCTTGTGAAATGGCTAGGTTTGTTTTGGTTTCTGGTTTTCACGTGATCTCGCCATGTGGTTGCACTTTCACAACACCATCTGAATCACACCTCAGAAGTGGCTCAAAACTTATCTATATCCTGGGTTGGTTGGTTTTTTTAGGCGGGGCACACCTGGGACCATGGGAAATGCTAGCATCCCATACTGTTCAGATATTAAATTGTAGGATTCATGCATCAGTACACCACCATGGTCTGTACTGAAACATGGAAATGGTACCATTTGTGATATATTTATATATACTTAAATATATATTAAAATATTTTTTTTAAATATAAAAAACTATAGGAGAAAGATGTTGGATTTTTATCTCTCTTTTTTTGGCTTTCTTTTGCCTGAAGGCAATTGATTATTTTGTTTTTCCTCTTCTTCTTCTTTAGACCTCAGATAGTTAGATGGGGAAAAGCAGAATCAAAAGAATAAGCACAATTTAAGCTCACAAACAAGAATATGGAAACCCCCCAGTTGTTCTGGAAAAGGGTTGGAGGAACCTGTGCCCCCCCCATTTTTTTGTTAGATTCCAACTCCTGTTCATCCCAGCCAGCATGGCCAATGGTCAGGGATGAGGGGAGTTGCCACTCATTAGCATCTATATTCCACCAGAATGAAGGTTAGCAGAAGGTAGATCAGGAACTGTCGGTTGATCTTGGGGTGATTTGCAGGAGATTGGCAAGTGTTTCTTCTCTCCCAACGGTTTGTTTAACAATAGCAAAGGCTAGCATGACCCTCTCCTGCAGCCCCACCTGAAATTAGGCTGTTTTGATGAATGAAGCTTGAAGAGAAGGCACCTGTGAATCTCTCTGTGAGTGAAAGGGCTGTGAGATCAGTCCCTGGCCCTTAACCCAAAGCATACAGAAGCCTAGCCAACTCTCCATTTTGTGCCAGCGGATAGACCTCCCAAGTTCCAGTAAAAATGAAATAGATCCATCAAGCCTCAAGCCCGGAGCCATCTGGCCAGCTGTTCTGATGCAGGGTAAGGGAATGGAGCTGCTTGATTATGGGAACATCCACAGGGCTCTACGGGTGCTGCATGGGAGTGCTTGCATCTGCAGGGGCTGCATCTTTTGCTCTGGCACCTAGAGGGAAGAATGCCAGGGTGGGTTGCATCTCCAGGTGTGATGGGGGAGCTAGCAGAGTGCTGTTTGCAGGCTGATGGGGGTCTCATTTGAGAACTGTATGCACAATGGGGGTGTAAGCTGGCAGTGGCTCCTCTTCCTTCAGACTCTTGCAGTTGCTTAACTAGGAAAACCAGAACTCCAAACTCTGCACCACTTGGGTCACAGGGGCGCCATTTCACGTCACAGTGGAGGAGAGATTCCCAGCAGAAACGAGAGCAGTGAGTTTTAGGAACATTTGTTGCGGCCACAGGGTACCTTGTAAGAGAACCGCGGCTATGTTATTAACAAAAGCAAAGCGGGCGTTGCCTACCTTCTTAAGTGAGGGATTCTTTTTTTGCTTCTGACCTGCAAACCTAATCCATGGGTCCATTTCATTGGTGTGATAACAAAGGCCAGTGAACTGGTCTGATAGAGGTGCTCCTGAGGAATAGTCCAATGGGATCTAAAACAGGGCATTTGCCTTGTATTTCCCCCCTCCCCACATGCAAATCTGGCAGACTTTTGAGATAGTTTGTCACTTAATGAGGCTATATATCTATAGAACTAGCCTTGTGCACTGAGAGGAGGAGGAGGAGGAGGGGCTTCCTGGGATTTGTCAAAAGTGACCTTGTGGAGACAGAGCGCAGCTGAGCCTTAATGCAAAGCAAGGTTAGTTCTGCTGCTGCTAACATTACATGGTCTAACTTGGAGTATAAGCAGGAGTATAAGCAGCAACTATTGTTGACTAGATGTTTAGTGAGGCTGGTAGTGATCCTTTGTACCATGTGGGTAGCAGAACATATATTCACTCCCAAAGCAACCAAATCCCCCAAAGAGATGTCCCAGTGCAATGTGTTCTTCTTTACCATCCAAGCTGCCTACTGGCTGTTTATCAGAGCCAAAACAAGGCTCCTCCTGACGATTCCTGTCTAGAAATAACTAACAAGGTGATAGTCAAGTCATACTAAACTAAGGCAACTGCTGTGCCCCTAACCTGAGGGGCCATGTCAAAATTACTCAACGGTATAGCTAGGGGACGTTCCCCAAATACCCATCACAGATACATCCGCATGATACAACCCTCTGCCCTGCTGGGTCCAAATTATTCTTTTGCCAGCAGCTTGTGGCCATGTGACTCCAGAATAGGGTTGCCACCTGTCCTGTATAATACAGGATCATCCTGTATTTGTGTAAAATACTATGTCCTATGTTGATCCAATACAAGACACAATTTGCCCTGTATTTCCTCTATTTCTGTTCTGTTGTGCTCTTTTGCTTTCACTCCTTTGGCCAAGTTAGGGATCTCCCCGCCCCCTCTCTCCCTCTCCCTCTTTCTTGGCCACATTAGGGTTCTTCTCCACATGCGCCCCCCCCCACTGCAGGGAAGGCATGGATCCAAGTGGTTTTTCTTTGGTCCCGCCATTTTCCCTGGGAAAACCCGCTGTTTCCCCCTGAATTGAAACAAAGGTAAATTGGGTTTTCGACAAATTGACAATTCTTCCGATTCATCAGTAAATGGCGGGTTTACCAGGGGAAAGCAGTGAAACAAAAAAGCAAAACTGCTCAGACCCCATCCACTGCCCTGTGCCTAGAAATTGTGGCACAAACCGAAGTCTGAATGAGCCCTCAGACGTGTCATGAAGCACATGTCATTGCTTCCAGTAGCTAAGTGGCTTGTAAAGTCATTTTTAGTGGCCACACACAAATTGACACTGGTATAATTCTAAAGGAATAGTTTGCATGGAGCAATAAGCAAGGCATTAGCGTATATATGTATAGATATCATTGCAGTTACTTTTTTTTGTAGCTGTTGCTGTAGTCGCTGGGAAATTCTGTTTGAAATTCCCACTGCCTCGCATAGCTTGCATGCAGCAATGGTAACCTATTAGGCAACCGTTACTTGGATGGTACCACAGGGTTTGACTTGAGCATAGATAGCCATTCTTCATTTCATATAACGTAGGGCCAGAAACACACCCTTCATTATTTTTACGTCTTGAAAACCTGTACGACTGTTGTGAAATAGTAAGAGTTTGGCCCATCCTGTTTGATAAAATCTTGAGAGATGTTCCTGACTGCAAAGGCCTGAGTTTGGGCATATTGCTTAGTATACGGAGAGTGATCGCCTCTGAACCTGCCGCCAGTGTCTTCCCATGTGTTTTGTGAATTCCACCAGTGGCAGTTGATTGATCCCACCATACACATGTTTGTACTGGGGTTACAAAACCGAGAGTCTCTTTTGTTAATTTCATAGTTCCAAATTAGACTAAAAGCCCATCTTGAAGTTGCATCCAACCTCCTAGCTCGGAAGCCACCTTGCAAACGGTGTTTGTCACATGGCAAGTTCTTCTGCCGCCTGTTGGAAAACAGGATTTTGACACACATAGTAATTCAACTAGATGAGGCGGCTGCTACAGCAGAGCTACAAAATTTGTGAAGGAGGTTTCTGATGGAGAGCCTATGGTCGTCGTCGTCGTCATCCCCCCTCCCCGCCCCAGAATGCCACACATCCTCCTGCTATCATTCATCAGCAGGAACAGGGCAGTGTTGCTTCCCAGGCTTCCCAATGCAGAGGTCGCTGCTGCTAACTATAAGGGGTGAGGCGGCAGAGCCGATCTGTCACTCCTGAGGCTGCCCCTTGCCCCTCTCCCTCTTGGTTGCCAGCAGCGACTTCTGCATTGGGAAGCCAAGTAAGTAACTTGTTTGAAAATGTGCTGCGAGTGCCATCACAAAATGGCCGCTGTGGTGTGTGGCATAACACAAAATGGCTGCCACATCTAAAAGAGCGGGGAGGGGAGAGGAACACAAAATGGTGTGGGCATGTTTCTCCTCAATGAGAAAAAGCATTTACACCAGCTACCTACCTCCATGCTTGCTCACAGAGAGGAAGTTTTTTGCTCTGTTCTGAAGGAAGGGTGGGAATGAAATGTCATGTTGAAGGAAGCATATTCAGTGTGGGAGAAACCAAACCAGGGCAAAGAGGAATTGAGCAGGAAGAGCAAATAGTCTGCCACGCATTGTGGATTTTTGAGGGGATAATTACTGAGATCCTTCACAGCTGGCATAGGAGGTAATTGTGGGCACACTGGCACCAGGTTGGTAACCGTCGAATTGATCCAATTGCCTGTTGCGTTTGGAGCACACACTCTTTTCCAAAGGTGGCAAAATTAGCTCTCAAAGTCTAAATTACTTCCATCCTATTGTAATTCCCATAAATGCTTTAGGGTGGGATCTAGCCACATCTTCACTGATGGAATTTCCAAAACATGAAGCATAACCCTGTCACGAAGTGTTTTAAAGCCCCATCATCGCTGGAGCATGGGGAAAGGGCTCTGTTTGTACGGAGGCTTAAGACTTGACCTGAGGGGAGATTCAGTTCGGTTCTCATTTAAACACAGGCCTATGTAATTTGCACTTCCTGAAACGCACAAACTGATACACAGCCGTCCTTCAAGATTTGCACTCCTTTGAATTTTGCAATGCAGTTCCCCAGCCAAATACAAAAGATGTATATATTAGGGGAAAGTGTGCATTAAAATGCATATATTAGTGAAAATGACATAGAGGAATGTGTATATTTGACTAAACTGCATACAGAAATGTGTGTATTGGGAGAAATTCGCATTAAAATGCTGGAAAATATTTCATGAGGACTCATTTGGGGGGTGGGAATTGTGAAATGTGGAAATGTGAAGAGCTGCACTTGAGACTGGGAAAATGAGAAACACTCTTAGTTTCTCTAAAATTAACAGATTTGTCTGTCCATCATCAAGAATCATACAATTATTAGTTTCAACCCTAGGCCATCAGTGCAGACTTGGAAGATACAAAGTAAAGCTAATAGACCTTTAGTTGAAATCACAAAAGGCCGTGGCCACAAGGCGTAGCTTCTAAAAGGCAAGCAGATGTCTTCTCAAAATGTTGCTTTTCATTAAGCAGCTCACCCATTTTGGCTCAGAGCCTTGTTGCCCACTTTAGGGACACGGCATGTGGTTCCTTCTCTGCTATGTTAAAACCAGAATAGAGTCAATTTTGATATTCATATGTGAAAACAGGCCAAAGGCAGAAGGCCAGAAACAGCTGCACAGAACAGAAATAGGTGGAGTTGGTTTTTTACACACATTTTGCAGCCCAAGCCTATACATAATTACAGTGGTACTTCAGTTTTCGAACGTAATCCATTCTGGAAGACTGTTCGAGTTCCGAAACGTTTGAAAACCAAAAACTCAATATGGAAGCCTCAACATGGAAAACTCAATATGGAAGCTGCGTTTTATGTTCGACTTCTGAGGTACGTTCGAAAACCGAAACATTTATTTCTGGGCTTACAGTGTTCGAGTTCCAAAATGTTCCTCAACGGATGGAGACAGAACCTGCTTGTCACATGGCCAGATGTGGCCCCCCAAAAATAGTTGATTTAAAGTCATTGCTGTTTCTAGATGGAGGTTTATAGTGGGATCAGGACTCCTTTCTACGGGGGGCGGGGACTGTGGTCAATGGCAACAATTTGCAATAGCCCAATGATCAGTTTGCAAATTAAGTCCCCATATGGAAGCACCCTGCAAGTCATGCCTTCCTTGTAGCAATGAATGACACTTCTCCTTCCTGTTGCATGCCCCTCACAGCTACTTTTGAGGTGGGTGACCCTCTGGAATGCCATGGGATGTGGCATGGGGGGCGGGACTATAGCAGGAAGGGAAAATGGATGCATACTGCTTGCATAAAAAGTGGTTTCTGCTAATATCGTGGGATCCAAACCAATCTCTCTTGCGTCTACCCTAGTTCTCATGTGAAAATCCACAAACTATATGAAGATCCCAATTCCTGCTTTTTTAAGAGTTCATGACCCCAGTACAGAAAGGCACATATACACCTTGCTAGATGAGGAAGTCTGTGTGTAATGGTGCAGCACTCACCTGCCTTGGTTCAACCCATCACCCAATGTAGCAGTAGCACCTATCAGCACTTCCAGAGAGGAAGCATCAGACTGCATTTGGTTCCATCTCTTGTCACACTGGTAGAAGAGCTGGAGAAAGCATTTTAGCAGCTACTGGGTTGTTTCCAAGACCAACAATGAGCCCTGTCTAACTTGAAAGCTTGCATACTCACTCTGACCTTGTTCCAATAAAAGAGATAGCTGCTGAGAATCCAGTGGGAATAAATTGCGGGTACCTACTGACTTTCCCATTGTGCCTTCTTGTTTCTTATGCAGCCTAAAGGCAAGCCATCAGATGAACATTTTGGAGCGCAGGCGGCTGTATTACAGACACCTACGCCTTGTGCAGACCCATGGTTAATTGACTAATAAATCATCCTAGCTGATGTGCCATCAGAGACACAGTTGGCTTTTGATCCACAGCTGTTTTAGATAAATTGGCTGTGGTGGTGACAAAGGCTGAGGAGATGTAATGGTATTTCCCCTTCCTTCCTTCCTTCCTTCCTTCCTTCCTTCCTTCCTTCCTTCTGTGCCAGTCCAGTGAGAACAAGCACTTTCAGGTGAAGTCTTTAGCAGTTTTGACACATGCATGTGCACACAGGCATGTCCACACACAGGCACGCTACGAAGGGATTTAGCATTCTTTAAAACAATTATTAAATCTATAACGCTGGCGGTGAATAGACTTCCAGTTGTCTCTGTAGCATTTTATTAAAGCCTTTTGGAATTTCTGGTGCCGAGCCAGGTAGTAGGGATGTCGTTTTTATTGTGGGGCCATACACTTCCTTCATTCTCACGTTTTATGAACACAAACCACAAAATCACAGCTGCACCAGGTAGACTTGGGAACAAACTCAGGATATAAGTCAGGCTGCTTCACAGGTTACCAGATTTCCATTTCAGTGAAGACAGAAACATGCACTTAGACCCACGCTGGCCTCAACCCAGAGACACCTGATTGGGATTAAGTTTCACTGAAGGGAGCAAATTAGTCATGACTTGGATCACCTGATCTGGATCGGGGCACAAGGGCAATGCAAATGGGGGACTGCATCTCATGCCTGAGATTTGAATGTGCATCTGCCATGCCTCAATTTGCATGTTGCAAATTAGCCATGCATCCATTTGCTCATCAATATACCCCAGCTGCATAGCATGGTTCCAGATCTAGCAAGGCCTGGAAAACCACCTGTGGACATTGCTTCTGTTGGTGTGTCTCCCTTCTTGGGTCAGGTTGAAGTATATGTCGTTTTTAAATGTTCAGCATGATGGGTTAAAGCCAACCTGTAGAACAAGCACGGTATAGTCAGTCAAAGAATAGAGCAGATTTGGTGAATGGTAGTAAATTCTGTGTTCCCAAGCATGGCCACTGTTTTATGCGTCCTTTTCTAGAGTTCTGTGTGTGGAAGGAACGAACTTTTTTTTCTTATATACTGACAAATGCACTTGTATTTATTGTTCAGAGAATGACTTTGATCTGTACCCGTTATAGTTTCCTATCAGTTGAGACTCCCCAGCCCCTCCCTCCCTATACATATAATATGCAGATTCTGTGCCAGTCTTACCAGTATCGGTTGCATTTTTAAGACAGTACTTCTGTGTGATCCTACTGTGTGTCGGTAGCAGCAACTTTGTTGTAAAATGTAAGCAGGGGGAAGAAACTTAAAACTGAATTCTTGTGTTTGTGTTTCGCTTGTTTGCTTGTAGAAACAGTACTGAGACTTGCATGTTCATGATATTGCAGCCTTCACCATCCTGAGGCCCTCCAAATATTTTGGACTACAAAACCCATCACCCCTTGCCAGCGCATGTGCTGATGGGTTTTGTAGTCCAAAACATCTGGAGAGTCCCAAGTTGGCGAAAGCTATTGTATCGATTATTTCCCCTCCTCATTGCTAGTTGTTGCACAGTTATGCAATTGTTTTCAGTTGTATAGGAAACTTGCATTCCTTGTTTGTTTGCTTGTTTGTTTTAAAATGGGGATTTGTTACAATCTAATTTTTTAAATAATCTGTTTGATTGCGTTTGTGTGTTTTTTTAAACCATACCTGCTCTTTGCTGCTCAGGGGTTGCTGCCAGGAGAACATTTTGTTCCCCAAACATGGTGGTTTTCATGGACTCCTATCTTGCATGGTAGGGCGACACCACTGCTTTGCTCAAAGTTAGAGGAGGTCCCTGTCCATGGGGCTTTGGCTCTAGGTTTCCCTTGTGGCAGTAGCTGAGACTGGGAACCAGCCACCCTTGTCAATTTCCCACAATGCTTTGGGACAGCCTTTTCTGACCTTGGGTCCTCTGGTGTTGTTGGACCTCAACTCCCATCAGCCCCAGCCAGCATGGCCAATAGTCATGAATGATTGGCAGTTCCACAATATCTGGGGAAGGGCTGCTCTAGGGCACTGTGGACTATTTGAACTGGCAGGCAGGTTCATAGAACAAGGGCGAGAAGAAGGGCTAAAGGAAGAGGCTTGTGAAGTCTGCTAAACTGCTGGGGATCTCATGTAATGGCGCCAAGCCTAGCTTCATTCAACAGCATCCCCAATAAGAACGTAAGAGTCTGTTGGATCAGGCCCTTGTAGTCCAGATTCCTGATCAGACAGTGGCCAATCAGATGCCTATGGGGAAACCATAAGCAGGGTCCCCAAAGCCCCCATCCCTTTCATGGGACACCTACAAGATCTCACACACAAATATTCCATCACCAGCCACTCAATCGCTTGCTCAGCTCTATCCGGTCTTCTCATTCTTAGGAAGGCTGTAGATTAGAGCTGGAGCTTTCGTTCCCCCTTGCTTAACTTCTGTGGTTAAAAAAAGTACATACTTTAGGAACTGAATGCAGACTTACTGTGCTGTCCCAACCAAGCTCTATTGAATTCAATGGGACTTGCTCCCAGGTAAGTGAGACTAGGCTTGCAGCCTTAATCATAGACCCCCTGAAAACCATGAGTCTACTCTAAGTGTGACTTAAGTATGAATCCAACCCATTAAAAAGAGTTGTCCAGGGTGTTTTGCCCAGCGTAACATTTCTGAGATGTTTGCTCAGTTATTACCATGTTAACTTTTGACATGTAAAGTTGCCACGGTTATTTTTTAATCATCCCAGGTTCCTAAATTAAATATTTTTAATCCGTCATCAGACAAGAGGCAGTATTTACAATGGGCAGGATCCAAATCAAAATGAAGCACCTTTAAGGCTACAATCCTATGCACACTTATTCAGTGGGACTTGCTGCAAAGGAAATGCATATTATGGAGTGGTGAAGGTATCAGCTGGTGGGGGGACTGTGAGGTGGGGGCCTCCAAGTGCCCACATGCTCAACCTATGGGGAGTTTGGATCCAGACTTTTTGGAGTGGGCCTATTGTTTAATTCACCTGTTTCCGCACTTGGATGGAATCCCTTGTGGACTGCATGCTACGGTCAGGCATAATGTCTGTTGTTGTTGTTGTTTTAAAATGTGAAAATTGTAGCCAAGTATAGCCCATAAATATTTTAAAAGCAGCAAAGTGTGTTGGTTTAAAAAACAGAAGAGGGAGATGCATTTGTGACAATGTCTTTTACAGTGCCAAACATATGAACAGTATTGTTTTGAAGGAAGTTAAGACTTTTTTTACTGTATTATTGAACAAATATTGTTTTTAAATGTTAGATTTTGAATAATTTTGTATTGTAAACTTGTTTTGTGACATGGTGCTTTTTCATACTGGAATTACTGATTGCACCTGACTATAATTATTCTGTTTTCTTATATGAATACATAACCTCAAACAAATCTTTATGAAAACCAGTGTATGGCTGAGACCTGAGGTTTGCAAATATAAAGTCCTCCATAAAGCCCCTAAATGTTATTGCCTCTAATAAATATTCTGCTGCATCCAGGCTTTCTGGAAAGTTTCACTGCATTTCTCTGGGGGAGGGAGGAGACAGGCAAAGAATATAGTAGCCATTGCGAGGAAACAGCTTCATAACTCCCATGGTTCTGACCCTGCCAATGCCAGTGAAGCCCCCTCTTCTTGGATAATAATAATAATAATAATAATAATAATAATAATTGTACCCCATCCATCTGACTGGGTTTCCCCAATCACTCTGGGCGGCTTCCAACAAATATTAAAGCATAATAGAACATTAAACATTAAAAGCTTTCCTATACAGGACTGCCTTCAGGTGTCATCTAAAAGTCGAAGTTGTTATCTCCTTGACATCTGAAGGGAGCGCGTTCCACAGGGCGGGCGCCACTACCGAGAAGGCCCTCTGCCTGGTTCCCTGTAACCTCACTTCTTGCAGTGAGGGAACCGCCAGAAGGCCCTCAGTGCTGGATCTCAGTGTCCGGGCAGAACGATGGGATGGAGACGCTCCTTCAGGCATACTGGCTGAGACCATTTAGGGTTTTAAAGGTCAGCACCAATGTTTATTGATTTATGAATTCATTAACATTTTTATCCCACTCTTCCTCCAAAGAACTCAGGGCAACTGACATGGTTCTTACCTCTACTTCATAATCCTTTCAACAACCCTGTGAGGTAGGTTAGGAAGAGAGAGAGGAGGGCTGGCTCAATATCACCCACATGAGCAGGTTCAAATCCGGGTCACCTGTAGAAATTTCAGTACCGTGCCAATATGTAATTGCTCCGTAAGAGGAAAAGGAGAAATGGGAGTTGGAATATCAGAACTCACTTACATGCCGCCTCCTTGCTTTTGCTGCCTCTTCTTCAAGCACAAGAAGAGTGAGAAGACAAGGAGAAGGTACAAGCACCTCTCTTTCCAGGTAGTGGTGCAAGCATTAACTACAGTGGTACCTCGGGTTAAGTACTTAATTCGTTCCGGAGGTCCGTTCTTAATCTGAAACTGTTCTTAACCTGAAGCACCACTTTAGCTAATGGGGCCTCCTGCTGCCACTGCGCCACTGCCAGAGCACGATTTCTGTTCTCATCCTGAAGCAAAGTTCTTAACCTAAGGTACTATTTCTGGGTTAGCGGAGTCTGTAACCTGAAGCGTATGTAACCTGAAGTGTATGTAACCCGAGGTACCACTGTAATGTGAAGCACTTGCTTGATACAAAGTCATGAATGGACATTTTCTCTTGCCTCCAATCTTCCACTCCAGCACCTATACTCAGGGGTGTGTGGGTGTGTATTCTGTGCGCACACACACACGCACAAATGGGTGATCTTAACTTTTGTGTTTCAGGACCAAACATGTCCAAGGCTGGCCCAACACGCCCCCCAACCGTGCACTGGAGGACTAGCTTTCATTTACTTAATAAAGGACCATGTGGCAAATTCAGTAAGTTCCCCAAGCCCGTTCAAGCAGATCTGAGTCAATATTCAAAATGCTTCAGTGTGGAGCCGAATAATCTATCAAACACCAGTAAGAAAAGAAAGAAAAGAAAAGGTGGTTATATCTTACGAATATTTATTTCTTTCCCTCTTAAAAATGTACAAAAAAATAAAATAAACCTGTATGTTTATAGATTTCCCTCTCCCATTTACAAAAAAACTATTAAGTTACACAAACTAGTTTTCTTAGAATAAAATAGCACACAGTGTTTATACATGGAGCTTTCTAGCTTTCCAGCTAATGGGAACTATGCACAGATTTATTTATTTTTTGGCACAAACAAATCCTCCTGTTTGCATCATGTCACCCTAATCTGGGAGAAACATTGAGGGGAGGCAGGGAAGGGGAAGGGTTACAAGGAAAACAAGCATTTTACATGGCTGCACACTTTTAAAAACTTTAAACAAGTCTATTCATTTCCAGTTCTGCATGATGCTGCTGAATGAATCCATAACAACAGCTTTTCAGTTTCCTCTCTAATAATAATAAAAACTCAAGCAGCTATCTTAATTTTGCAACTTTCCAACTGGTCTACAGAGATCAGAACAACAGGACCAAGTGCTGGGGGAAATGGCTTAATTCATAAATCACATGTTTCTGTGTACATATCTAAGTCATTTATGTTTAGGAACAGACATTTGTTAGCAACAATGAAAGATGGTAAAAGCTCCCTCTTCTTTTATGCCCATCAAAAGTAAAATATGACTTTTAAAAAATTGGTAGGCTAGGTAGACTCTATGTGACTTATTTAAAATGTGCGTATAGGAAGAGGACTGAAGCAGGCCTTATTACCCTAGTAATTGTTATAGCCATGTCAATATTAGTAACGTATCAGTGGATGGACAAGCAGAACATCTACATATAATTGCAGCCTGTGATAGACTGTTATCACTCTGCAATTCTTATACAAATGCAGCTTATATAGGACTAGGAGTTTTCTTTCCTCTCTAAAAACAAACACCTAGGTTTCTAGCCCTTATCGACTAGAAAGGCACAGAGGGCTAAACTCATTAAATACAACAATATTTATCTCTGGATAGATAACGGGGGCACCAGCCAGTCTCAAAAAATTGGCACAGTCTTCACAGTGTAGAGCTTTATTTCAGAAGACAGCAATAACGGTGATTTTTGTTATGTGGTCTTCTTCAAACTTTTCACCTTTAGAAATACACTTTCTAAAATGTCTGGCATGCCAAGGTACTCATGAAGATTTACCCCTCAACACCAGTAAATGGTTCTGAGGCCAGTGACCTGAGAGCGAACCTTCAAGCACACCTGATCTTCCTCTAAGGCTACCCATTGTTTGAGGTCAGTAATGGAAGGACAGCTACCCAATTGGCCCTTGGGGACTGCTTGAAGATACCCAAGCTTCTAAGGGATCCCATTGGCTCCCCAAAACAAAGTCTGAAAGCCCACTTTTAGATTGCTTTGGAATGATCATTATGCTTAAGTGCTAAACCACAGAACAGAAGGGGTAAGTTATCATTTCTTTCTGGGTTGCATGGCAACGCCATGGTTACATAGAACATTGGGAGCTGTGCCTTTGCCAGCCACCAAGAGATGTTCAACAGGTGCAATTTTACCTATCACTCCATGATGGGCATGAAGAAGAAGAAGAAGAAGAAGAAGAAGAAGAAGAAGAAGAAGAAGAAGAATGCATTTCTTGATTTTCACCCTGCCAGGCAGTTTGGCAGTGAATTATCAGTTTGTTGTAAAAACGGCTCTGTAAGCTCAATCGATTCTGAAGCAATGCTAAATCAGCATGTTATTCACTTCAGATATATCAGTCAGCATAGCTTTACATGACTTCAAGGGACATACATGCTTATGCAAGTATACACAAATGAAGAGGGTGTTTATTTTTTCATGCATTTTGCATACAGTGCAGATTTAGGACAACTGTTCTGGCTCCTCTCCCCCTTGAAGAATCAATATTGGTGGAACTCAGAAATGCAAGATTGTGACCAAAATAAATTGACCTTAAAACCATTGAACAAAACAGGTTTTTTTAAAAATGCATGCATCTCATAATGCAGCGTTTGGCATTTTTCCTGTAACATTTGAAACTTTGAAGAAATAGAAAAGGACTAAGCTGCTAAAAGAGTATCGGCAGAAGCAAACACTCCTGAAATTTAGGTCAAGTTAATTTACATACCAGAAACCTTTTAAGAAACATTCATCTCCATAGCACCATTTTGCTTGAGCAAGGAACATCAGTCTTTGAAGCTCTGACTGTCCCAATCAAAGGAGTGCTTGAACTACATTTGCTTTCCAAAGTTATTAAACGAATTACAGGGTTTCATCTCAGATTCCTATTTCATAATCTCAGGGTTGCCTTAAAAAGCTTTAAACAGAGTCCGGCTGCTCAGTATCTACAGGAGTTGTTGGATTGCAAGTGCTATCATTCCTAGCTGGCTTAGGGTTGATGAGAGTTGTTGTCCTGGGTTGAAGAAGGCTGACCAACAATGGCTGGCAGCAAGTCTCCAGGGTTTCAGCCAGAAGCACTGCTGGAAACAGTGGCAATCAACTCTTTGACCTTATGCAAGCAAACCACGTTTTGCTACCAATCTCTGGCCATTCCCAGCAGCCCCATGGATGGAAGTGCAATGAAAAAAATGTATACTACATACCGATTAAGACAGGCTGAGTAATATGATCATACAAAAACAAAGTCTATAGAGTCAGGACTTGATATGTACATTCAGACCAAAGTCAAGGGAGGCGTATGTACATTTTTACATTTACAGCGAGACCCATCAGGGGGCACGAGGACGTTCAACAAAATGAGCAGAGGATCCATTCATCCAAGAAATTTGTTCCATTCCTGCCACAACTCCTGGGAAGTTGAATGGGCAAGGGAATGGCAACCAGGGATGAGGTGGGTTGGGGGGGAGTGTCAGAAGAGCAGGTAAAGGAGACAGCAAAGATTAAAGGAGCTGGACAAGGGGCAGGGAAGCTGAGGTGAGTCACCAGGGCATGGGAGCGTAGGCTGCATCCTTTTTCAACTGCAACAAAACTGCCCTGCCTCTCTGGCTTCCTGGGACTGTAGGGATGGACTGTAGGGATGCAGTTCCCTAGATCAGCTCTTCTGAGGATGGGAAGGATAGAAAGATGCCTCTTCAGGTACATGTCACCCATCCCCATCATGACCAGAGGTGTCCAGATTCCCTTTATTGGCACCATTCATGCTGTGCACATGCATGCAGATTGCATCCCCAGATCTGTGCCTGAAATTTGTACATTGTGCGAATGGGGGTCTTGGCTATTCATTGATTTCATTTAAAAAAGAAAAGGTAAACCAGCAAGCACCTGCTCAGCTGGTCTTAAACGGTGTCTGCTGAACCAAATCCACCCACCTATTAAGGGGGGACACGATGGCTGTCTTCAAATACCTGAAGAGCTGTGATGAAGAAGAGGGAGCAGAGTTGAACTCTGTTGCTGCTCCGGACGGCAGGATTAGGAGCAACGGGTGGGAATTGCAGGGAACTGGATTTCAGCTGAACATTCGAAGAAGCTGCCTAATAGGACAAGCTGCAGAAC